AGAGAGAGGGAGACACAGAATCTGAAGCAGGCTCCAGGCTCTGAGCTGTCAGCACAGAGCCCGACACGGGGCTTGAACTCTCGGACCACGAGATCATGACCTGAGCCGAAGTCGGATGCTTAACTGACTGAGCCACCCAGGCGCCCCAAAAAATAAAATCTTAAATTATTTTAAAAATTAATAAGAGAACATATTTTAAAAGCGGAGTGTATATGGTAACCAGAAATAAGCTAATGAACACAAATGCTTAGGCATCCTATTTTAATAGATAGAGAAGAATGACTTTGGTCAAAAAAAAGTAAAGAAATATTTTAAATTCTGATGTTGCTTTAGTATTTATTTTTTAGGTATAGTATTCTTTTATAAACTTGTTTCGGTTTCATTCATCTTTCAATAATGAAAAGATAAACTTTAGGCCAGGATTTATTTAAGTTGCATATCCTGAATTATTTGAACTCAAATTTAGAAGGTATTAACTATCAAATATGCTATATATTTGTGAAGTACTTTTCCTTTCTAAGTGTTTATGGTGACTGTATGCTATCTCTGCTATTATGAGGGTTGTCTGAAAAATTTAGATTGTTGCTGATTATTTCTTTGAAATAATTAAATACTCTTTAAAGCCTGCCATACAATGCTTTTGCCGACACAAACCCTTTGTGTTACCTGACAGATTCAAGGACCACAGTACAGCTATGGATAGTGAAGCAAACCCTGGCACATCTTCTGTGTCGACAACAGCCAGTAGTACCACCACCACAACTATTACCACTTCCTCCTCTCGAATGCAGCAGCCACAGATCTCTGTCTACAGTGGCTCAGACCGACATGCTGTACAGGTATTTCAGTTATAATGACGGGTGGGCTAAGACTTAGGATGCCGTTATTTTTCTCTTAAGCCAGGTGAACCTCTTGTTTTACGTCCTCAAATGAGTCACATGATATTTTCTAAATGAGTACAGTTAGAATAGTTAATATCTGAAACAATCAAAAGTTACTTAATAATCCTTCTATTGAAAGGGCTTAACATTTGTCAGCATGTGGCTTATAAAACCATATGTTAGGAAAATTATAATTGGAAGGGCTCTAGGTGGCTGCTACAATGTGGAGACACTCAGCCTACAGCCTAAATATACAGAATGGATCTAGGCTTTTCTAGGTTCTTTTATATTTGAAACCAAAATATAGACTTAGGAAGATCTGTTCAGGTCTGTGGATGTGTTAAGAGGTTTATTTTATTTCTTTTTTTTCTTTTAATATGTTTTAATCTTTATTTTTGAGAGAGAGACAGCATGTGAGCAGGGGAAGAGCAGAGAGAGAGGGAGACACAGAATCTGAAGCAGGCTCCAGGCTCTGAGCTATCAGCACAGAGCCCGACATGGGGCTCGAACTCACGAATTGTGAGATCATGACCTGAGCCGAAGTCGGATGCTCAACCGACTGAGTCACCCAGGTGCCCCTATTTTATTTCATTTTATTTATTTATTTTTTTGAAGATTTTTTTTAATGTTTATTTTTGAGAGACAGAGTGCGAGTGGGGGAGGGGCAGAGAGAGAAGGAGACACAGAATCCGAAGCAGGCTCCAGGATCCGAGCTGTCAGTACAGAGCCCGGTGCAGGGCTCGAACCCACGAGCCGCGAGATCATGACCTGAGCCAAAGTCAGACGCCCAACCGACTGAGCCACTTAGGTGCCCCAAGAGGTTCATTTTAAACTCAAGTGGCTTAAGAACCTAAGCAGAAGAATCATTTAAAGTTCTTAGGGGCAGAGGGGGGAAGGGAATATTTAGGAAAAGTTTTAGTCTCTTCACTTGGTTGCGAAATTAAGTTTACTTGGTTAACTTTTATAATGAGGTTGAGGCAATATGGTATTTCATAAAAAGGGCATGGGCATTGTAGTCTGATATGCTCTTTGAATTCCATTTTCTTAATCCTTAGTAGCTATGTGTCTTGGCTGAGAGGCATGATCTCTTTGACCATCAGGAAATTGTAAAATGAGGATGAGACCATCTAGTTCCTTAGTTACTTTGATCATTAAAGGAAGCATTAAAACGGTGTGGGGCACATTATATATTCCCAGTCAATAACAGTAGCTAATATTTATTGAACAATTGCTTTGTGGCAAGCATTTGATGAATGCTTTACGTGGATTATCTTTTTTTTAAAGTTTACGTATTTTTGAGAGAGAGCATTAGCAGGGGAGGGGCAGAGAGAGAGAAAAGACGGAGAACTCTAAGCAGGGTCCTTGCTGACAGTGCAGAGTCTGGTGTGGGGCTCAAACCCATGAGATCATGACCTGAGCGAAAATCAAGAGTCGGACACTCAACTGACTGAGCCACCTAGGGATCCCTCTTTTTTTTTTTTTTTACGTTTATTTATTTATTTTGAGAGAGAGAGAGTGCATGCGCGAGCAGGGGAGGGGGCAGAGACAGGGAGAGAGAGAAAGAATCCCAAGCAGGCTCTGAAGTGCCAGTGCAGAGCCTGGAAGCAGGGCTTGAACTCATAAACTATGAGATCATGAACTTATCCAAAGTCAAGAGTCAAAGGATGTTAACCTACTGAGCCACTCGGGCATTCCTGGATTATCTCTTTTAATCCTCACCACACCTCTAAAGTGGATGCTGTTATCTCTCATTTTACAGATGGGAAAACTGATGTTTTAAATAGATTAACTTTTCCTAAATTCACATAGCTAGTAGATTGTCTGGTTTTAGACTTGTGCCTTTAATCACTCCGTGAGTTTTTATGTTTCATTCTACTCTGAAAATAACTTAACCTGGTTGCGATATAGTCCTCTCTCCACTCCATTTTTCTAGATTGGATATCCCAGCATGATGGCTTTTAACTGTTTTGTTGTTTAGAATTCTGAAGTTACCATGGGGTAGAATCAGAGCTGTTGAAGATTGAGTCAGTCCAGCAAAAGTTCAAACTGGAATGAGGAATGTGTTTTTAATGTTTTTTACCTTCTTTGCGGCAAGGGATATAGGAGAGAGTATCTCGATGTTTGAGCATGTAGTTGATGTGGTATTTTAATATGATATTTTGATCTCTAGTTTTTATCTAAGCTGAATGTGTTAATAAAAAATAAGATGTTACCGGAGAAGGATAGGTATAGGTATCTCTCACAAATAGCACTTATACTAGTTCTTATGAGGTGATAGAATTGCTTCCTCTAAAGTACAGTCAAATCAATATTCATTGAATTACCTAAGTAGTTCTTCAATACTGTCCAGCATTCTTTTCCAGTCCCATGAGTTCTCTTTACCCTTTTTGTTTCTTTAAAGATTAAAATAAGAACAATGTGTTGTACCTTTAACTTGCCTTTTAGGAGTCTCTCTCCCATCAGTGTGTCATTGAATGATAATGAAAGACTGTGTTGACAAAATAGAAGAAATGGCTACACTGGCAAAAATGTGTCAAATAGATTATATTTATGTTATTTTAGTTTGACTTTAGTTTTATTATGGAATTCGAAGAACATATATAGATTTACCTGACCCAAAAGGTGTACTGCTGTAATTCTAAATTGCTTAATGCTGGTCTGTCGTCTCCTGAGAGGTCAAAAGCATACATTGATATTGTGACAGGAGTCTGTAGCAGATATAGCCAATCTGTAGTTGGAGAGATGAGATATGAATACATGAAAGTAAACAAGGAAATATGTTTCTTGGAATTTGGATAAAGAGATTCATTGCTCTGTGGTTCATGGTGTCCTGACTCAGACCTCAAGCTGTAGGATTATGGCTCAATTACTATGTTAGTTCTGAACACTGTGGTTTGATCCTGAGAGTAGGGTTTTGTGCTGTTTCAGATCACTGTGGGGCATGGTGTGACTTTGGAATGTGGTTGCAGAGGAGAGGTCTAGTCTGACTTATGAGTTTGGACAGATCAAGGATTTTTTTCTCTTTTTTTAGAATACTTTTCTACATGTATCTATTTGTGAAGTTTCAGGCTCAGATTTTATATTTTACTAATATTCACAGTAATTAACACTTTTTCAGGAATTTTTTTAAGTTAGAATAGTTTTTTTTTATGTTGAAAGGAATCTGACATTTAAAAACATTAAAAGAAGTAATAATTTAAAACAGGAAGTAGCTTTATAGTTTTACATGATTATTTATATAATACCTGCTTGTAGATTTTTTCCAGATATTTACGGAAAGTACAAATGAGAAGGTAAAAATCTCCTCAAATCTAGCTGTCTATTGGTAGTCTTTTAATGTTTTCCTGAATAGTCTTTTAAATATTTTAATATAAAATGGTATCTTACTCTATACACTATTTAGTAATCTGCTTTTTTCACCAAATGATATATTTGGGAATTTTTTTTTGTTGCTAAAAGTAGATATGTCTGTGCTGTACAATACAGGTGTATTGTGTTCCTAGGTGCTTGTGGCTTCTTATATTAAAATATAGTAAAATTAAAAGCTCATTTTCTTAGTTGCATTAGCTGCATTCGTAAGTGCTTAGGAGACACATGTGGCTAGTGGCTGCTATATTGAGCAGCATTGGTCTATGTTATTATTTGTAATGGCTGTAAATGCATATTCCTCTCTATACCCACGCCCTGAATGCTACCCAGTTTTCTCTAAAACAGTACGCCAGTTTACATTCTTACTGACACTGTGAGAGTTATCTGTTTCCCTATTTAGTGGTAATATTCTTTTAAGTCAGTTATTCAGTTCTTGCTTTGGCACCGCATACACTAAAATAAGTCAGTTATTCATCTGAAAGTTGGAAAATAGTATCTTGTTTTAATTTGTAAATTTTGACTACTAATGAGAGTGAAGATTTTTTCAGGTGCTTATTTGGCTCTTTTTTCTTTTGTGAATTGCTTCTTTTGGGTGGCTTTGATTTGTACAGATTAGCGAATCTTAGTCGTACATAACTAGGAGAGAACTATGTTAATAAACGTTACACTCAATATTAACGTAGTGAAATTTTAAACCACCGCTTGTTTTATACTTCATGGTTAAGCTTAACATTAAGATCATGATTTGACATTGGTTCAATTGACTCGTCACAGGTGATTCAGCAGGCATTGCATCGCCCCCCCAGCTCTGCTGCTCAGTACCTTCAGCAGATGTACGCTGCTCAGCAGCAGCACTTGATGCTACACACCGCAGCCCTCCAGCAGCAGCACTTAAGCAGCTCCCAGCTTCAGAGCCTTGCTGCAGTTCAGGTGAGACTTAACTGAATTCAGACTTTATGAGGTAAAGTTGACAAAAGTTCACATTTTTTGCAGATACTTACTGAAAATAGATATATTGGGTATTATTTCGGAATTCTCAGATGTCCTGTGATTAGTTTTTCTTAAATTAATAGGCTGCCGGATAGAAGTTAATAAAAAGTATACGGATATGTTTTATATGTTACTCGGTTGCTAGCTCCGTCCCACTTCTTTTTATCTACTTTGCAGAAATACTATGCTAGGTCATGGTTTCGTGGGTGATAAAATTCTGGGTACAACAGTGAATACTTAGGGTTACAGGAATTGTATTTACATTTCAGTGAAAAAAATTTTAATATAAGTAATTTACATTCATTTAAAAAAATCAAGCAGTATCAAATTGTTTATAAGAGGTAAAGTGGAGGTGTTCATTTTCTAGACCCACTACTGTTTTTCATTCTTCACAGGTGGCTGCTGTTCAGTATATATTCCTCCAGAAATTTTCTGTATAAAAATACACATACATGCACCTTTCTTATATCCAGTCATATCTTCCTAGTGATAATGGGATATTTTTATAATTAAATGCTTGCTTTGAAAAAGATTTTCATTCTTATTCTGTTTATTTAAATAAGACTGTATGTGAAGATTTAATCTTAAATATTCTTATGAGAGGAGGATCTCAGTTGATTGAACCTGAAAAAGGTTTATTTCTGTTAGGAACACAGCTCTTTCATCTTCTTCCTGGTATGATTTTAAATAACTTCATGTTCATGATACAAGTTAGGAAACTGAAACCCACTGGCACTTGATGTGGCTCCCATTTTCTTTTTCATAACGTTGGAGTGGTGATTCCACTTGAAAGAAGACAGAGACTTGTACAGTGAAACTGACAATGAGCGCAGCTATTAAAATAAGATTAGCCTTTGGGTCCTTCGTTTTCATTATTCAGCTTTTTCCTTTTTTTCTTAATCTGTTGGGCCAAAGCTTAATCTGTGTTGACTGTGAATTGAATTTTGCATTGGTTCATACCTAGATGTTTTAACTTTTATTGTGATTTTTTGGTATCTTGGTGCCAGAAAGTTTTTAACTTCAGATTTTTATAGACATATTATAAAGATCTTATTATTTTAGGCAAGTTTGTCCAGTGGAAGACCATCTACATCCCCCACAGGAAGTGTCACACAACAGTCAAGTATGTCCCAGACATCTGTAAGTGCCCTAAATTTTTTCCTGGATTTAAAAATGTTAATTACTGCTTTCCAAAAGTGAACTTAATATTTACAAAGTTGCTGTTGTATATTTGTTGATTGATACTTAAGTGATAAGTGCCTAGAAATAGAAATGATAAGTTTCAAGAATTCAGAGCTAATGTTAAGCTTCTGAAAACCTGAGTTTTTTTTTTTTAAGAAAAATTTTTTTAATGTTTATTTATTTTTGAGAGAGAATGAGCAGGGGAGGAGCAGAGAGAGAGAGAGGGAGACACAGAATCCAAAGCAAGCTCCAGGCTCCTAGCTGTCAGCACAGAGCCTGACACAGGGGTCGAACTCACAGACTGTGAGATCATGACCAGAGCTGAAGTAGGACACTTAATTGACTGAGCCACCCAGGCGCCGTGAAAATCTGAGTCTTAAAAAAAAAATGTTTTTGTATTTCTTATATATGTTTTCCCGCTGATTTTGCTCAGATCTTATGTGATTCAGAATGATGGTAGTTTTCAGTATGTATTGAAAGCCTGAAAGGTACAATGCAGGAGTATTAGGCCATGTATTCCCTGCGATATACTAAAGAATGTCAACCCTTGGTAGACATCTAAATGTTTCTAGCTTTTTTTGGACACTTCACATTTTAGAAATTAATACTTTTCAGCTTATGCTTACTTGACTTATCTTGGCCAATTTACAAGTATCCATTCAAGATAACGTAACTTTAAAAAAAATTTTTTTTTGGAGTTTATTTTTATTTTGAGAGAGAGAGAGCGCGCAAGCAGGGGAGAGGGCAGAGAGAGTGGAAGAGAGAATCCCAAGCAGGCATGCACTGTCAGCACAGAGCCTGACGCGGGACTCAGTCTCATGAACTGTGAGATCATGACCTGAGCCAAAATCAAGAGTTGGATGCTTAAATGACTGAGCCACCCAGCACCCTAAGATAACGTAATTTATTTTGAGAAAGGAGTAAATCTGATTTGCTATATTGCACATATATAGAAATTGTGCAGTTTCCCAGTTAAAAGAAATTTACAGGCATGTAATACTTAATTTTTTATGTTGATAGAATTTCATATTGTAAGAATATTGAAAATTTCTATATACTTTTTACTCAGATTCACCATTGTTAGCATTTGGTTCATTGCTTTATCATTCATTCTTTCTCTCTACATATATACGTGTAGACAGACATCTTTTTCTGAACCATTTGCAGGTTAGTTGAGACATGTTCCTTTATTCTTAAATACTTCAATATGTATTTCCTATGAACAAAGTTCTTTTACAAAACCACATGAGAATGGTCAGATGCAGGAAATTTAACAGTGTAGTCCATATTCACATTTCATTAGTTCCAGATTGCTCTGTCTCCTCCACTGCAGATGTTATGGACCAGATAACTTTTTGCTGTGTGTGTAGGGGGGCTATCCTGTGCACTGTTTGGGTACTTATCAGCATCCCTAGCTTCTACCCACTAGATACTAGTAGGCCCTCCTCTTTGCCACAATGTGACAACCAAAAATGTGTCTAGGCACTGGCAGATGTTTCCTGGAAGGCAAAACTGCCCCTGGCTGAGAACCATTGAGTTAACCTAATAATATCCTTTCTAACTAATTTTTCCTGATCCCAGATGATAATACTCTGATACTTTGTAAAATCGACTGCAGTAGAGTGTAGTTGTAGATTGCTAAGGAATTGAAGATAACTTGTACTGTATTTCTTTAGCTAGGGGTATGGTCTTTGCTGACTAAGTACATATATAGGAGCATATGATTATTTTTATGGCTACTGACATTTTTAATTTAAAAATCCTATTTTTTGGCATGGAAGTATCCTGGAACATGAATAAAATTAGTTAAATCTCACTTCGTGAGATCAAGCCCTGCATCAGGCTCTGTGCTGACAGTGCATACCTACTTGGGATTCTCTCTCTCTTTCTCTCTCTCTCTCTCTCTGGCCCCTCCCCTCTTTCTCTCAAAATAAATAAATAAACTTAAAAAAAAAAAAGATGTTACTTATGACTTGAAAACAGACTGAAAAAGAAAAATTTAAGCAATGTAATCTAGCCCTAAGCCTTAATACTATAATTATGGTTATTGATGCCGGATGTGTCTTTAATTAATACATTGGTAGTTAAGGCAAGCACTGTAAACATTTGTGAGCTAGTTAAAAAAAATTATGGGCAAATTTTTTTATTCTTTGAAATACTGGAATATCATAAATATCAAAGAGAGATTTTCAAATTATTAAAAGGTATCCTTTTAAACTATTTTTTCTCTCATGAATTTATGTATGTGACTTTCACAGAAATTCTGATTCCAGTGATTGTATTTATTTTTTTATGACATTATTAGTGCTGCTTGTCATAAACCAGGCAGGCTTGTATGTATGATAAAGCATGCCAGAACCTGTGATTGGTTGGTGGGGGGAAAGAGGTAAGCATGGAGAGCAGATGTCCAGGAAAATAAAAAAAAAAATACACTGCATTTGTTTTATTTTATATCCCAGTTGAGCAGTAGCTCAAGTGAGTGGACTAGCTATCCAAATTATGATACCCAAGGTAGCTTAGTAAGTATGGGTCAGTCTCCAAAAGAGGGGAAGAGTGTGGTAGCAGAAATCTCTAGGTAGTGATACTAATGAGCCATGTCAGGTGGCAGTCTAGAAATTTTTCACAGTTTTTGGTTATTTCAAGGTAGGATTCCAGATCAACAGTGAAATCCCACCAGGAAGGGTCCAGCCTCCAGTAGGAGAAAGGGCTGGAAGGTAGGTTGTCAAGTCATCAGCCAGATCCATAGACTTGGATTTAGAATAGGAGTGGGATCCCAATGGAGAAATGGAATATTATTAAACAACGGAGTCAAAATCCAGTCAATGTGATTTAGGGTTGAAACTGTGGAGAAGGCTGTTGTTAATTGAATATATAGGTAATCAGTGGGTGCCAGCATCCTCTTCTTTCCAAACCTCATTAAAACAGACTAATTCTAGACTTTGATCAGTAGTGAGAGTGGTGATTTTATGATTGTTTGGTTTTATTTATTTATTTAAAAAAATTTTTTTTTCAACGTTTATTTATTTTTGGGACAGAGAGAGACAGAGCATGAACGGGGGAGGGGCAGAGAGAGAGGGAGACACAGAATCGGAAACAGGCTCCAGGCTCTGAGCCATCAGCCCAGAGCCTGACGCGGGGCTCGAACTCACAGACCACGAGATCGTGACCTGGCTGAAGTCGGACACTTAACGGACTGCGCCACCCAGGCGCCCCTGATTGTTTGGTTTTAAAAGTAGTTGGGACTGAGTGTTCAAGTTGATGCCTTTGTACTTTAACTGAATGGGACTTAGATTTAGTTAAATTTGACTTGCCAAAATGAAATCCAAACCAATTAAAAACTCTGCTGCAAAAAAAACAACAAAGTTAAAAACCAACAGAATGATTAAAAATATATTAGTACCTTGTAGATTAACCAGCTGATATTTGTGAAATAACAAGGATTCATTTATAATTGTAAGATAAACAATGAGAATTCACAAAAGACCTGTATTAGTAATTTTCAAAGAAAAATTTCTGGCTTCTCAATACATGAAAATGTATTTACTGTATTAGTAACAAAGAAGTGTATGTAAAAACAAGGACATCTCTTAAATCAGAAAACAAGGAACAACATTGAGTCAATACCCATTATTGGCAAGGATGTGAGAAAGTAGGTATACTCATACACTATAAGTGGGAATGTATTTGGTACAACCTTTCTGAAAGATTATTTGTCAGTGAGTATGAAAATTTCAACTACGCATTCCCTTTTACTTACTGTTATTTTTAGTGATGTCATTTACTAAAAATGACAGATAATTATGACATAATCATGCAAAAATGACATAATTATACAACTATGCATGGTTTATAATCGTGAAAAATTGTAAACAATATAAATAAGTGCGCATTAATTAAAGATTAAACAAATTATAGTTAATTCGTACAGTGGACTACTATAGCTAAAAAATATGTGTGTATACAGACAGAGGCTTACATTTTCATTAGGTATTAAGTGAAAAAAGCAAAAAATTATAGTATGATCTCATTAACTTACATTCAGGTTATTCTGTTTTTCAGTTCTAAAATTTCCATGTGATTTCTTATTTGTATCTTCTATTTGCTGAGAGTTTTTCCATTCAAGTGGGCTCACGTTGCTTGTTGAAAGCATTTTTATGATGACTGCTTTAAAATCTGCCAGATAATTTTATCTTTCATCTTGATGTTGGCATCTACTTATTGTCTTTTGTATTCAGCTTAGGTCTTTCTGGTTCTTAGTTTGATGAGTGATTTTTGATTGAACCCTCAATATTTTGAGTATTATGAGTGTATCATATTTAAACTTTGTGTTTTGGCTAGCTTCTGAAAGGGAATGTGTGCCACCTCCTTACTATCGTCTGAGGGTAAAAAGTCCAGGTTACCCATTTGATCTCTATTGACACTCATAATTGCTGAGTGGTGGTGAGAGTCCTGGCTGGAGGGAGCGAGGGGAGTAAAAGTACCTGTTACCGCTCCACTGATACTGCAGGGACAGGGTGGGTTGGTGGTGGTAAGTCTGTTACTGCCTGTCTGGGATGAAAATCCTGCCTCTCTACCTTGTTTTCTCTGAAGCATATCCATTGGAAGGATTAGGAGAATTGGGGTACCTCATTACATCCTGGTGTAGGTGGAAGTTTTTGCTGGTGTGGGTGGGGCCACAGTGTTTTCTGTGGTGTTTGGCTAGAGTAGAACAGTTGTCTAAAAGTTTTCCATGTTGTAGGTAGCCCCTTTTTGGTCTTTCGGCTGGAAAGAACAGGCTGCTTTTGGGGCTTTTTTTGTTTGTACCCATTTGTATTTCTGGGTTACTGACTACTTCAGCTTAAAATTTTAGGTTCTATAAGACAAAAAGAAAACCCAGGGACCTCACAACAACATGTTTAAGTGGGTTCTGAGGTCCTTAGCCAGTCTGCTTCTCTCCACCTCTCGGGATCTTATGCTTA